CCCCTCCCCCTTCCAAGTGATGATTCTGGGCGGCGGCCCAGGCAACGAGCTGCGGCCGCTGACCGACGTCAGGGCTGAGCCGGCGGTGCCGTTTGCGGGGCTGTTCAGGCTGATCGACATCCCGATCAGCAACTGCATCAATAGCGGTGAGCTTGGGTCTTGGCCCTCGCTATCAAATGCAACTACTTAAGACCAAGACTTTTTCTTGTGTTTGCGTTGGGGCCCTGCGTGTTGCGGCTCCGCAGCCCTGTCTTCATGGCCGACGTGGGCGCGGCATGCGCGCTGTGGGAGCAAGGACACGATGGCAATGCTGCTGCTGCTGCTGCTGCTGCCGCCGCTGCTGATTGGTTGTCGTCCTCAATGCGGTCTGGCTGCCGTGCGCGTGTTTGAGTCGCACCGCTCGCGGTTGCTGCGCTGCGAGCACATGTCATCTGCTGGGGCCCACCACGCTGCGGCCTTGCCGCTCGTGCTTGCCACTCAGCAATGCGCTGCAACAGGCGCGCGCCATCCCGCACCCTGCGACGCGCGCCGCTGTGAGCATGCGCCTCCTCCTAACGCACGGTGGTGTGTGTCTGTTTGTGTGTGTGCGCGAGGCTCCCTCTCCCTCCCCCCCCTTCACACTCCCGTTCCTCCCCTCCCACACGCACTTCTTCCTCCCATATCGACACAACCAGGCTTGAACCACATCTATGTGTTGGCGCAGTACAACTCCACCAGCCTCAACCGGCACCTGTCACGCGCATACTCCTTCCTCAACGGTGAGCGGCCCTGGGCCGTGCCGACGGCAGCTGCTGCTGCTGGCTGTCGCAGCTGGCGCGGCCTACGCTGCCGCGCGCTGCTGATGCTGGCGACACTGCCCTTGCTGCTGCCACTGCAGCCGCCACTGCAGCTGCTGCTGCTGCTGCTGCTGCTGCTGCTGCTGCTGCTGCTGCTGCTGCTGCTGCTGCTGCTGCTGCTGCTGCTGCTGCTGCTGCTGCTGCTGCCACCGCCGCCGCCGCCGCCGCCTAAAGCGCTAGATCAGCGGCTGGTTACGGCCAGGGGCACGCCACGCATGCGACAGCCCCTCAATTTTGCAGCGGCTGAGGGCGCAGTCTTTGCATGAGGGCCGCAGCACTGCGCTAGGGCTTGCACGCGGCAGATGCGCCATGGCGAGTCGCGCGACTCGCAGCTGCTCACGCAGCCGCCTAGCGGCGCCCCCCATCTCGAGCAACCAACCAGCCATCCTCAAGCCGCCGTTCACGGCTTCCCAACAATCTCGCGGGGCGGCACTCAGCTGCGTGCCTCGACCTCTCAATTCTGCAGCCGCCTCCCCAGCGCCGCGCGCCCCGCACCACCCCCTCTTGTCAACCCCCTCGGCAACCCCTCGCCCCACCCCGCCAACAGCTGTCTCATCCCGATGCGCCGTTCAACAATGCACGCCTGAATTCTGAAATCCGCCACACTCTTTCCTCCCCGCCCCTCTTGCCCATCCTACAGGCAACCTCTTCACCACCAGCCACGACGGCTTCGTGGAATGCCTCAACGCAACGCAGCGGCCAGGATCCGTCACGCTGGACGCATGGTGGGCTTCCTATGGGAGGGCAGGGGGGGGCCAACAGAGGAGAGCTCGCTTGTAGCAGCGCGGGGGGCAGCCGGCAGGAAGGCTGCCGGGGTGGCTGGCAGCTGGCGAGTGGCGCCCCTTGGCTGCAGCAGTGGGGTGTGCGTGCAGGCGGCGACGGCTTGTTGCCGCTTCTGTTACGCTATGTCAATATGCTGGTTGGGAGGACCTGCCTGGTGTGAGGGGCGTGTTGGGGCCCTCCAATAACGGAGTGAGCTTGCCTGGAGTGAGAGTTGCTTGTCGATGCGCGCGCGCATACGTGTGAGTCCTCCTCGTCGGACACACACACGCATGCGAGCGTGCAATAGACCAATCGAGTCATGCGTTGACACAGGGGGCGTGTGCACGCACGCGCAGAAACATGCGCTCGTGTCTCTCTGCGCGCTGTCCCTCTTCGGATGTGTGTGATTTTGTCGTGCTGTTGGTGTGCGCCCTGGAGACCGCCTGCGGCGCCGCAGTGGCTCTCCAGGGAAGGCAGGCGGCAGAGCTTTTCCTGGCCGCTTTTCCTTGTCCGCGCGGCAAGCCGGGCTTGTGGTTGCGCCGTGCGCAGCTGTTTGGGGTCAACAAACCAGCAGCGACGCAGGTTGAGCCTTTAGCGGTGGCGAACGACGCGACCTGCAGCTGCCAAGCCACCCGCTTTTTGGCCCTCGCTCCTCAGACCCGACTGCACTGCATGTGTTTGGGTTCGCACCAGACTTGCAAACCCAAACACATTTTTGCATAAGATGCCTTCCCACGTGCGATTCTGTGCACTGTCACCCACCTCAAGCTGAGGCATAGCCCGGGTGATGCGAGCCTCCCTGCTGCGCCAGCCCCCGCTCACTCTGCCTGGTTTAAGCCAAGCCCAATGGGAAGCATCCCATGACTTTTCAGCCGTCGGTTGGACCCACTCTCAAATCTATTACCATGCACCTTGAAACAAGTATAAAAGCATGTACCGGTCCCAGCACCTTTCTGCAGGCGCATCCCTCCCAACCCCCATCCTCCTCGCCTCCTGCGCCAACCAGCTGACCTGTTTTCTCCACCACAATCGAAACCGCCAACCGGCAGGTACCAGGGCACGGCGGACGCGGTGCGGCGCTACCTGGAGCAGCTCACGGGGGACAGGCACAGCGACGCGGAGGATGTACTAATCCTGTCAGGGGACCAGCTGTGAGTAATTGAGATAATCATTCGAGAAGCTATTACGTCACCTTGGCACGAGGCGCCTGTGGGGGGCTGCGATGTTATTACGCCGCCCTTGCGAGCAGGCAGCTGGCCATGAGGGGCGGCCCTGTTGGCAGTGGTTGCGTGCTGCTTCTGGGGGCTGCTGCGCGCTCCCGCTTGGGTTGGTCCTGGGGCCGCAGGCTGAGCGAATGCTAGGCCTCCCTCGTGGCGCTCCGATGGGGGTGCCAACGCCATGCGGGCTCAAAATTTTGCATCGCATCGAGCCCGCCTGGTTTTTGCCTCCACGCAGACAGAGCAGCGGGCAGTACCCGCAGCTGCAGCCGCCCGTGCCCGCCCCGTCCACCTTCGTCTAGCTTTGCAGCCACCCCGTTCATAGACCTGCGCGTGGTGGTGCCGCGGCGTGAATAGCGGCTTCACGCTTGTGACGCGCCGGCTGTGAATGTCGCCTTCGAAGCACTCTCACCTCATCCTGCCTCCATCCTCCCCTGTCATATCAAAATCAACAAAGCTGTCCTTCCCACTGTCCAACACAACTCAAATCGGCCATTTGCATCCTCTGTGAATTTCAAGTTCCTGGCCTGTGCCGACCTCTGAACCCTAGTTGCTTCACACTTCCCGGCCCCCCTCCCCGCTTTGATTCCAAAGGTACCGCATGGACTACTCAGCGCTGATCAACTACCACCGCGCCAAGAACGCTGACGTCACCATCGCCACCACCCCCGCTGACGAGGACCACGCCCTACACCTCGGAATCCTCAAGGTGGGGGGGCGCGGGGAGG